GCCACCAGCTGCTTTGGCCTTGACCAAGAGAGTCAGCCTATTTTTTGAAGCTTTAAAGCCAGGCATTGACTTCTCTTCTGTAGTTACGAAAGTCCCAGATGGCATCTTCTTCCACTAGAAGGTGGTTTCATCTGTGTTAAAAATCTGTTGATCAGCCACATCTGTTTTCTGAGCTAGATCTCATAATAACGTGTTGCAGCTTCTACATCAGTACTTACCGCTTCACTTCTCACTTTTATGTTATGGAGACACCTTCTTTCCTTAAACCTCATTAGCCAACCTCTGCTAGCTTCCAGCTATGCTTCTGTAGCCTCCTTACCTCTCTCAGCCTTCATAGAAGTAAAGAGACTTTGAGTTTTACTCTGGATTAGGCTTTGGCTTAAGGGGATATTGTGGCTGGTTTGATCTTCTAGACCACTAAAACTTTCTCTGTAGCTCTTTCACTTTCTTATTTTTGTGTGTTCATTGGAGTAGCACTTCTAATTTCCTTCTAGAACTTTCTCTGTGCATTAACAACTTGGCTGTTTGGTACAAGAGGTGTAGCTTTTTTTTTTTGTTTTTAGTATGTCTCAGCTTTTGACATGCATTCCTCACTATGCTTAATCATTCCTAGCTTTTTTTTTTTTTTGGAGACAGAGTCTCACTCTGTTGCCCAGGCTGGAGTACAGTGGCGCAATCTCAGCTCACTGTAACCTCTGCCTCGCGGGTTTAAGCGATTCTCTTGCCTCAGCCTCCCAAGTAGCTGGGATTGCAGGCGTGCACCAAAGCGCCCAGCTAATTTTTGTATTTTTAGTAGAGTCGGGGTTTTCACCATGTTGGCCAGGCTGGTCTTGAACTTCTGACCTCAAGTGATCCACCCACCTCGGCCTTCCAAAGTGCTGGGATTACAAATAGGCATGAGCCACTGTGCCTGGCCCATTTCTAGCTCTTGATTTAAAGTGAGAAATGTGTGACTCTTCCTTTCACTTGGACACTTTGAGGCCATTGTAATTGGCCTGCTTTCAGCATTGTTTTGTCTCAGGAAATAGGCCAGAGGAGAGGGAGAGAGATGGAGGAATGACCAGTTGGTGAATTGGTCAGAACATATACAACATTTATCTACTAAGGTCACCATCTTATATAGGTACAGTTTGTGGTGCCCCAAAACGTTACAATAGTAACACCAGAGGTCACTGATCACAGATCACCACAACAGATATAATAATAATGAAAAAGTTTGAAATATTGTGAGAATTACCAAAATGTGACAGAGAGACGCGAAGAGAGCACATGCTGTTGGAAAAATGGTATTGATTACTTTGCTCAACGTGGGGTTGCCACAACTTTCAATTTTTTTTTTTTAATCACTAAATATGTAGTACTTACCATTTCAAAAAAGATCATTTAATTTCAGTGCACATTTTTCCTGACGTAATATTCTGGTTTATAAGGAATCTTTTTATTACTGAGGGATTGAGTTATTTATTAAATGACATTTTTTTTTTCAGGTGTTAGGTTGTCAAATTAATTTCCCGTGGCTAATCAGCCTGGGCTTGACTGTACGCACATAATGGTCCTCCACTCCCCCAGCTCTCCAGGACTTGCAGTCTCTCTGATCCCACCAGCCTACAGGTCTTTTCTTTGTTTTCTTTGTTGTTTTTTTTTTTTTTTGAGACGGAGTCTTGCTCTGTCGCCCAGGCTGGAGGGCAGTAGCGCGATCTTGGCTCACTGCAACCTCTGCCTCCTGGGTTCACACCATTCTCCTGCCTCAGCCTCCTGAGTAGCTGGGACTACAGGCACTCGCCACCACGCCCGGCTAATTTTTTGTATATTTTGTAGAGACGGGGTTTCACGTATCAGCCAGGATGATCTCGATCTCCTGACTTCGAGATCTGCCCACCTCAGCCTCCCAAAGTGCTGGGATTACATATGTGAGCCACACTGCACCTGGCTGCCTGCAGGTCTTTTCTTACCAGCCAGGACTCTTTCCCAGTCTCTTCAGTGGTGTTCACCAGACCCTCAGTTTCTCTGACTTTAACCTTTTGATCCTTATTCTGCCAGTCCCTTAGCTTAGATGGGTTCTTAATTTCTTTTCTCCCCAAATTTTTATTTTCTGTCCTGACCAGAGGCATCAGATTGTTCTACACTGGTGAGATGTGCCAGTCAGCATCTCTTCTTCCACTCTCTGCACAGCTGGGCCTCAGGGTTGCCACTCTTCTCAAGCCCCATAGTCTAACCCTTCTCGGGTCACACAGGACTTCCTGCCTGCTATCTAGACCCTGGAGCTCCCCTGCCCCCTGTCCCCTGGTCCCTTCACTTTTCACTGCTGCAGCTTTGCTCATCCTTCCCTCCTCATTCCTACCCCTGGGGGAGAGCTGCCCCTCCTTTCCAGTGCCAACCTCTTCATCAGTGCTTTAGAGTTCTGCTTCAGCACTAAACAAAAACACAAACCAACTAAATTAAGATTTTAATATTTTTATATTAATATTTAAAATTGTTTAATTTTTATAAATGTTAAATAACATTTGATTTTAAGAAATATTAAATATTTAATGTTAATAAATATTTTTTATGAACATTAAATAAAGGTGATCAGGTGGGAGGATCACTTGAACCCAGGAGGTTGAGACTGCAGTAAGCTATGATTGTGCCACTGCACTCGAGCCTAGGTGACAGAGCGAGACTGTCACCAAAAACAAAAAAAAGCCACAGAACTGTTTGCAGCAACAAAAGTTAGAAAGCACTACCCTTTAACAGAGAGCTGATTAAATTATGGTGTATTTATTATTGGTGGCAAATTTTAATAAATATTAATTTTTAATAAATATTTTTTAAAAATCTTAATAAATATTGAGTAATATTTAATATTAAGTAACACATGCACATGGATTTAAAAATTAAAGTAGTATAAAATAATCTACAGAGGCTACTATTTGATGCCAGTTTGTGTGTATATGCATTCTTCCATAGATGATACATGCATAAACAAGTATGTACATCCATGCATTTCTTCCTCTTCCTGTCTCCTCCTTCCACTCTTTTTGAACACAAATACTATCTATACACAGTCTAGATATTGCTTTTTAAATATATTGCTATGTTTTGGAAAACAATTTGTGTCAGTATTACAAGACCTGCCTCGTTCCTTTAATAGATACAAAATATGTATTATTATTATTTTTTTTTTTTGAGACTCTGTCACCCAGGCTGGAGTGCAGTGGTGTGATCATAACTCATTTCAGCCTCAACCTCCTGGGTTCAGGTGATCCTTCCACTTTAGCTTCCCAAGTGGCTGGGATTGCAGGTGCACTCCACCATGCCTGGCTAGTTTTTAAATTTTTTGTGGAGTTGAGGTCTCACTATGTTGCCCAGGTTGGTCCTGAACTCCTAAGCTCAAGCAGTCCTCCTGCCTTGGGCACCCAAAGTGCTAGGATTACAGGTGTGTGAGCCATCGTGCCTGGCCCAAACAGCGTTTCAGTAAGCTTCCTTACAATGGAAGTCTTTGTGCCCATGTACAACTTTATCAGTATGAAGTCTTAAAAGTGGAATTGCTGGATTAAAGGGTGCCTACATTTTCTTCTTCTAAAAAGAGAAATTCTATTTCTTGTATTATTACTGTTCCAGTCTGTTTATGCATTGTTGATTTCTTAGGTATGTCTTCAATGTCTGCTATCTTTTTAAAGCATTCATCTCTTTATTTCTTGTGAGTTCTGAGAGAATTTCTGAGACATTCTGGTTCAGCATTCTACATTTCACAGTCCCTGTGATCACTGAATTCCTAAATGTGATACTCATTGTTTGTTTCTAAGAACTCTTTACTGTTCTCATACTGTTCTCCTCTCAAGTGTACAGGCCTTTTATTTTTTAACTTTTTATTGAAGGATAACATATATCCAAAAAAAACCACACAAATCTTGTGTTCAACTTAATGAATTCTCAAAAAATACACCTTATGTAACCAACGCTTAGATAAATAAACAAGTTATTACCAGCACCTTGGAATGTCCCTTGTGCCCCTTACAGTCTCTCTGGGGGTAGCCACTATCTTTTCTTCTAACACCACACATTCATATTGCCTATTTCATTTTAATTTTATATAAATGTAATTATACAGTACATACTGCTACTCCTTCCTTTCGTGTAACATTATGTTTGAAGGTAGTTTGTTCTCACTGATATATAGTATTCCATTGCATGACTATACCACAATCCATCTGTTCATTCTACTGTTGATGGTCACCTCAGTGGTTTCTAGTTTTGGGCTATCATGAATAGCGCTGCTATGGACACTTTTGTTTGTGTCTTCCAGTGCACATATGTACACATTTTTGTTGGGTGTGTATACACATAGAGTAGAATTGCTGCATCATAGGACATAGAGTCCTGGTTGTTCCACATCCTTGCCAGCACTTGGTATTTTCTTTGTCATTTTAATCTTTTTGATAGGTGCAAAGTAGTGTTTCATTGTGGTTTCAGTGTTCATATCTCTAAATACTCATGCTATTGGAGCCCATTTTCATGTTTATTGGCTCTTTGGATATCCTCTTTTGTGAAGTACCTATTGAAATTTATTTTTCCGTTTTACAATTATTTTAAAAAAATATATTCGGCTAGCTGGTATGTCACATTTTTTTGAGAAAATCCTTTTGCCCATCCCTTCCCATTTATCCTTTTAAATTTATTTTCTTGGCTTTTCTTTCACCTGTTTTCTAACCAGCGAACTTTAGGGCCACTAACTAATCCTAACTCTTCTAGAATTTTTAGTGAATTTGCATGAAACTTACTTTATTGAGAAAACATTGATATGCAAACTGGAAGATAATGTTATTGTCATTCTAAGAAGGGAAAAGATGATAAATACTAAGCCACTTTTAGTTTTTTGGCCACTAGATTGCATTTTATCCCCATATTTAATTCTCATTTTAATTTTATTTTTGACAAGAGCTTGTTGGAAGTGAAAGTCTTTTAATTTGCATTTTAAGTCTGGAGCCTCCTTTTTAAAAAATGTAAATGTTTTACAGGTTCTTGATCAATATGAACGAGAAGGATTTAACTTCCTAGCCAAGGTGTTTAATTCTTCACATTCCTTCTTGGAAGACTTGACTGGTCTTACATTGCTGCATCAAGAAACCCAAGCTGCCGAGGTAGGAACAAAACAAGCTTTCTATAGTGAAGACTGACATGCTTAAAACTATTTGATATTCGCCATATGGAAAAGGAAGACAGCAATTAATTTTAATTTTTATAACTTAGAGCAAATATCACTAAATAAGTCTGCTAGTTACCAGATAACAAATAACCTTCAGCAAGTGCTGGATACTGATGTGTGTAGGTTGCTGTCCAGTAGGTGCCTAATACACAAAATCACTGTGATAAAGGAAGTATAGATTGTAGATTTCCAGGCATCTCTTGTCCTTACTGAAGATCTGCATGTGTATGGCCATTGGAGAGATTTGGCTTTAATGTCCATATATCAAAATGTAAGTTGGTGAAGACATTGGACTCCAGCTATGTTCTTTAGAAAGAAGGTATTGGACTCTGGCCATGTTCTGATCAGAAAGAACGTGCCTGTTCATGATTTGATCAGTCTTCATAGACCCTGAACCGCACCATGAAATGGCTTCGCCAGACACAACCCGAGAGGGCCATGCGTTGTTTCTCAGCTAGAATATTTTGCAGATCTTAATTTCCTGGGTCATTGCATCATTTTTTTTTTTTAAGACTGAGTTTAAGAAATAAATTATTGGCCAGGCGAGGTAGCTCACACCTGTAATCCAAGCACTTTGAGAGGTCAAGATGGTGGGTCACAAGGTCAGGAGTTTGAGACCAGCCTGGCCAACATGGTGTGAAACCCTGTTTCCACTAAAATAAGAAAATTAGGTGGGTGTGGTGGCAGGCGCCTATAATCCCAGCTACTTGGGAGGCTGAGGCAGGAGAATTGCTTGAATCCTGGAGGCAGAGGCTGTGGTGAGCCGAGATTGTGCCATGCATTCCAGTCCGGGTGACAGTGTGAGACTCTGTCTCAAAAAAAAAAAAAAAAATTTTGTTTTTTCCAAATGCTCACTGTTCTTAGAAAAGGGATTGCTGTGTATGGTGGTAGAGCTATTTGGATCACTTGGCAAAATGTGCAGTTCCTTAGAATTGATGAGTGAGATTAAATCAATATCTTTTCCTCTTAGTTACCTGGGTAAAGAAACTATGAGTAGAAATGTAGCTTATGGAGTGTTTCCACAAACTACATAAGGAAAACCTTGACTTCCTGTGTCCTGCAGGGGTATTGCACTTGCCATTAGTCCTTTTCAAGTCACAATTCTTCCCACCAACTAAAGAGAAATATATAAATTATTTCTAGCGAGGTGGCAAAACTCCCCCAGCCATCTTGTCAAATGATTGCATGGGTGCAAAGATCTATAAACTCCTCCATAGGTTGCATATCCTTACCATTCAGGGAGGCCCCAAGTTGTCAATGAATAGATGGCCAGGCCCAATACTGGACTAGCCAGTGGTGAAAGGGCTGCTGTTTGGAGAGGTGGAGCTAGTGCTGAGTATAGGAAGACCATGTGGAAATACCAAAGTCAGATCTTTTGGAGCTGTGAGCAGATTGTGAGATTTTCAGGTACACCAGGGAGGCAAGATAGTATATCTCTAGTGCTGGACTTACAACTGAAGGCAGTCCTTCTTTAAATTGTTTTAGTGTCCCCTGGGCATTAAACAGATGCAGTCTTCCACTTATGGCCAATAGTTAGAGCCACAGAGAGTCTATTTCAAGTTTCAGGAGATGAATGGCATCTCTGCCGCTCTTTGAGAGACTTTAAGGTATTTTTCCCCTGAATTGTAATTGAGTTCCCAGGCAGGGTTCAGAACATTGTGTTTATTGTCTGCCTTATTATCTTTTAAGCAGTGCTGTACTGCCTGATGGTATGGAAGAGGTAACATAGATGTTTGCAAACATGCAGTCATTTGATGAGATGGCTAAGGGAGTTGTGCCACCCAGCTAGAAGTAATTTACATATTTGTTTAGTTAGCTAGAACAATTTCAACTTGAAATTGACCCACTTTTTCCCTCTAAAACAGAGCAGATGCTAGAATAGTGGGCAGGTTTCTAGATTTAACCTGATTTATCTTACATTTTAGTTTGTCAAACCTTAATGGCTTTTTCAAAGACTTAGAGAAAGTTTAAAAGCAATAGTGACTAAATAGATGGTGGAGCAGAAGGGAGCGTGGTTTCATCCATGAGCCTGAGTTTTCTTTTTGAATTTTCCTCTACTAAATTATATCTTTAGCTTTGGAGTCATATGTCACATCAAATTTTAGATTAGAGATGGTAAACTGGTTGGCCTATGAGCCAGATATGGCTTGCAGGTATGTATTTTTTGGCCTGCCCTATATGTTAAATTTTGAATAAAGCCATCATTTAAAAATCACAAGTTTTAGGCTAAGCGTGGTGGCTCACAGCTATAATCCTAGCACTTTGGGAGGCTGAGGCGGGCAGATCACCTGAGGTCAGGAGTTCAAGACCAGCCTGGCCAACATGGTGAAACCCCGTCTCTACTAAAAATGCAAAAATTAGCTGGGCATGGTGGCACATGCCTGTAATCCCAGTTACTCGGGAGGCTGAGGTGGGAGAATGACTTGAACCCGAGAAGCAAAGGTTGCAGTGAGCCAAGATTGCACCACTGCACTCCAGCCTGGGTGACAGAGCAAGACTCCGTCTCGAAAAAAAAGAAAAATCACAAGAGGGTCTGAATTTCCCATTTCCAACTTTGGAAAATCAGATCTGGGAACTCCAGACATGCATCTCTTAATAGTGATGGTTAGCTAGAGCCAAGAAGCAAACTTTATAGATCACGCACTTGATATAAAATTTAAAGGTATTGCAAAATATTCTGGGCTGGACACAGTGGCTCATGTCTCATATCCTAGCACTTTGGGAGGCCAAGGCGGGCAGAGTGCCTGAGCTCAGGAGTTTGAGACCAGCCTGGGCAACACAGTGAAACCCCATCTCTACTAAAAATACAAAAAACTAGCCCGGCATGGCAGCGTGCGCCTGTGGTCCCAGCTCCTCAGGGATGAGGCAGGAGAATTGCTTGAACCTGGGAGGCAGATGTTGCAGTGAGCTGAAATCACGTCATTGAATTCCAGCCTGGGCAACAGAGTGAGACTCCATCTCAGGAAAAGAAAAAAAAAAATTCTGTGAAAAGGGTATCTTCCTTCTATAGCTGTCCCCTTAGCTCCTCAGTTCTTTCCTGGAGACAAACACTGTTGTTACTTTCTTGCCCAGAGATATTCTTTAGGTTACATTCTTTATTTAGATAATGCCCTTTAGTAGGTGACCCTTAATAGGTATTTGAGTTTATAACCCCTGTCTTCAAAAATGATCATTTTTCTTAACTCTGAATAGGACTGTGTTTTAAGATGAGGTTTGAAATACAGTACTTAGTAGAGGACCTCATAGCAACAAAAATTGTTATAACTACATCATTTTATATTACTTGGAAAAATGTTTGTGTAAGCAAAATATATAAATATATATTATATATATGTAAATATACCTTTACATATATCTGTGTAAAAGTGTTTTGATTTACATACTTGATTCCCAATGCGTTTACAGGTGGTCAGTAATAAAAACACAGAATTCTGCATTCTATTTAGAAAGGTCTCCACTTATTTATTTTAGCAACACAATCAAAATGCTAAATTAATTCTCATTTTGGGTTAACCGTTTCCATCAATCAACATTGGAATTGCAAACGATTCAACTAGATAATTATGTGACATTACCATTATATATCTTGTTTATAAAATACGTGTTTAAAAAATGTACTGAACATCTTTTGAAAATCTGATACTAAGCACTGTGCTAGTAACTGAATACAGAAGTTAATGAGACGCTGACCCTCATGGGCTCATAGTCTAGTGTGAGAAACTGACATGTAAATAGTGAGCTCTAATGCAATAAAAAATGTTTTAGTCATTTGTATATTAAGTGCTGAGAGAGCAGTTACTTCTGCCTAGGGGAATAGGGATGTCAAAAGCTTCACAGGAAGAGAACAAATATTTCACTTAGTTTTAAAGGATGAATAGACTATTTTTAAAAATAAAAGTTGGATTTTGGCAGAGGAAGAGTAGAGAAGGGAAGGGCAAGAGGCCTAGGGTGTTCTAGACTGAATAGAGGTCTCTGAGGCCAAGTCTTTAGTATATTATTCAAAATCATGAGTAGTATGATGTACTTGGAGCCAGAGTTACCTGAAGTCAACATAATGTTTTTTTGTTTTTTTTTTTTCAGACGGAGTCTCGCTCTGTCGCCGGGGCTGGAGTGCAGTGACCGGATCTCAGCTCACTGCAAGCTCCGCCTCCCGGGTTTACGCCATTCTCCTGCCTCAGCCTCCCGAGTAGCTGGGACTACAGGTGCCCGCCACCTCGCCCGGCTAGTTTTTTGTATTTTTTAGTAGAGACGGGGTTTCACCGAGTTAGCCAGGATGATCTCGATCTCCTGACCTTGTGATCCGCCCGTCTCGGCCTCCCAGAGTGCTGGGATTACAGGCTTGAGCCACTGCGCCCGGCCAACATAATGTTTTTTAATAACAGCTTTATTGAGTGGTAATTCACATACCATAAAACACACCATTTTGGCCAGGCACGGTGGCTCACACCTGTAATCCCAGCACTTTATGAGACCGAGGTGGGTGGATCACTTGAGGTCAGGAGTTCGAGACCAGCCTAGCCAACATGGCAAAACCTTGTCTCTACTAAATATACAAAAATTAGCCTTGCGTGGTGGCGGGCGCCTGTGTTCCCAGTTACTCAAGAGACTGAGGCAGGAAAATCACTTGAACCCGGGAAGCAGAGGCTGCAGTGAGCTGAGATCGCACTGTTGCACTCCAGCCTGGGCAACAAGGGCGGGGGGGGGGGAGGGCGGGGAAACAACCACACACACACATACCCTTTTAAAGTGTGCATTTCAGTGGTTTTTAGTATATTCACAGAGTTGTGCAACCATTACCACTCTCTCAGTTTAGAAAATTTTCATCCCCCTCACCCAAAACAAACTCTGAACCTATTAAATGGTCACTCCCCATTCCCTCCTTCCAGCCCCTGACAACCACTAATCTTCTTTCTGTCTGTAAGGATTTTCTATTCT